TATATATATATATATATATATTATATTTTTTAATTATATTATAAAAAAAAATAATATATAAATTATAAAATATCTTACCGGCATTGGATAAAATTCGTAAATTTTAGTTTTGTAAACTTCACGAGAAAATTTCGGATCTAAATCGTCGTTATCAATGATCGTTATCTTGACCGTTGTTTTATTACTCTTAACGGGTATACCCCGATCCTGAAATTGAGATGAGATCAAAATCAATGTTAAAGAGTAATCATTACTAGAATAAGTATCAAGGATTCTGTCGTGTGTGTAAGAACAAACACACTATTACTCACAGTCGCTGTGATCACGAGCGTGAACTCACGATCACCGTTATCGTAATCCAATGGTTTACGAAGTATCAAAGCTGTTCTATGACCAGATTCGAGAGAAAATTTGCCTTGATCGTTCCCTTTGACTATAGCGTAATGAATATCGCTGTTTGGTGTATTAGGTTTGTCCCCATCTATGGCACGAATTCCACGAAAGATTGTTGCACCTAGAAAAATTTTTAACCAAAATGGTTTTTTCTTCTTTCCCATTTACGTTTGTTTTGTTAATATCAATTGTCTTGATTGTTAATTTGTTTTTTTTTTTTTTTTATTATTATTATTAAAATGTTAAAAATTAATTCATTTATTGAAGAAAGAGAGCAGAGAGCATGAATTTCTATTTCTTTTCTTTTGGTTCTTTTAGTATTCCAACGAAGACAAAATAACGAAATTTGGGCAAAATTTAAGGATTAAACGATAATGGATCCTGAGGAAAGATTAACGGAAATCCTACTTTGTTATAGGTCAACGAATTCACCGTAATCTCGTTTAGAATTCTCGAGGAACAACGAGAAGCAAGGCTTCGTGGATATAGGAAGTTGAAAAACGTTTTATTCAATAAAAAAAAAAAAAAAAAAAAAAAAAAAACATTTTTTTTTACGAATCTACGAGATAGGAGAACAAATCTGTGTTATTAAAAGAATTTTTCTTCTGATAATAGTGTTGTGTGTAAGTGTGTTCATTTATCTCACCTAAATTATTATTATTATTATTATTATTTCATTGTTTCAAATGAATGATAATAATCGTAGAAAATAAAAAAAGAAAAGAAACAAAACAAACAAGTATATGCGTATGAAATCTTATATACATTTTATTGTTATAAAATGCAAACTATTAATTCAAGTTTGAATTTATTTCAATAATATTCTACCATGAGAGAGAATTTAAATGGTCATGAATCTTTCATAGTAGAACTAGTTTTCAACTCGACAACTATAATTTGTCTTAAAACGAAGCACATGCATATATATATATATATATA